GTTTCCTGTTGTCTTAGAGGCACATTTCCCAGATTATTCTTGTGTCTCTCAGACCGCTCCTCTTTCTACTTCCTAGCTTTTACTCCCTCCTTCACCCAGCAAAGGGTAAGCATCCTCTCATGGCTTTTTTCTTGGGCTTATTCTGTTTCCTTTGCCATCTTATCCACTTGTACACATCATTTATCACTTGTACCAGATGGCTCCCAAGTTTAACTATCGGGCCCCAGTCTGTCTTGTGAAGTGCAATGTTGCGTTTCCTGGTATCCGAAATATTTATACACCTGGACATCCTGCTGCCATCTCAGGATCAGTTGTCTTCACCTGAAACTGCTCACCTTCCTGACTTCAATTTTTGCTGTTCATTGAGACCACAATGCTTTGCCACCCAGGTTCCCCCTTGTATCCAATTCTAACTTCCATCCATCCTATTCTGGGGCCTGATCTTGCATATTAATTTTTTCCTGACTATCCTTTGAATCTGCTCCTGCCTGAGAAATCACGTGACCATCATGGCTCAGCTGCTTCTTCTTATCTTTTGCTTCTTCCTTTATAATAGCCTTCTAACTGATCTTTTCCTCCTTAGATTTGTTCCCATCCGAATCCATCCTATCCCACTGCTGGGAGTCTCCCAAAAGAACATGATCCTAAAGATCATGGAAGACTCCTGCCCAAAAGCCATGACTTACCATCACCTCCTTAATTAATTAAAATACTTCCTCAGACTGACTTTCAGACACATGACATCATGGAGTCCCTATATTTTTACAGTCTCATCTCTCACTATTCTAAAGCCAAACTGAACCATTCACTGTTTTTGGAACCAAGCCTAAACTTTCCAACCTTTGTGGGGTTTGTGTTTTGATGGTACCCTCTGTTTTGCATTTCTTTTTCACAACCTTCCACTCCACCTCCCCCAGATATCTAGATTTGTCAAAACCCAACAAAGCTTATCCATAAACCAACTCTTAGTCATGTTTTCATCCACAACTGTACAATCATTGGTTTACTAGGGATTTTTCATTCATTCAACAGTTATTGAGCACCTACTCTTTGACAGTCAGTCTGCCAGATGTTGTAGTTAGTACCTATGTCAATATTTACTATCTCAGTTAGTGGATCCACCTGCACCCAGTTTTCTGATGTGGAAATCTGAGCTCTAATTTTGATTTCTCTCTCTTTACCCATTACATCTCACTGACCACCAAGTCCAGTAGTTTTAACTTTCTGAAGGCCTTTGTCCCTACTGCCACTGTCTAAATTCAGACTGTCATGAGCTCTTTAAGAACCTTAGCTCTCAGCACTTTAGGAATTTTCTACCTTGTATGCTTACTGGCAAGTCCCACCCTCTCGAGGTCATCTATCATATTGCCGTCACAACTAAGTAACGTCTCTCATCTTAACAATAAAACCTTTAATAATGTCTTATTACTTATAGTGGAGATTCTGGGAGCCTCTCTGAATCATTGTGGAGCCTTGACAGCATGAAGAAGCCCAGGTTCCACTCTATACAAACAAAACCAAGTCTGCAGTGATAAATATTGGCATATGTATGTGTGTCAGCTCTAAAAGTGATCCTGATGCCCATTTCTGGTTAAGACCATTGATTTAGAATGAAGTCCTCACCCTCTAGTGTGGTGGGCAGTGTTGCCTCCTCATAGCTATTCCATTAACATCATCTCCTACCACTATCCTCCACTGGTCCTAGGTTTCAACCAGACAGAACTTTTCTCAATTTACTAATGTTCCATTCTTTCAATAACTCTGTTCCTCTGCTTGGAATACCTTCTCTGCTATCTTTCTAAATTCTTATTCTCCTTTCAAGGCCATCTCAAATAACAACTCTTCTATGAAGCTTTTGAAGATACCACTATCTCGTTTCCCACCCACCACAATTTCCATTCCCAGTGGACAATGCTATTCACTCCCATATCTCTGCTTCCATGCCACACTAGCACTTCTGCAGACCACATAAAAAACCTAGCAGACTCTGTTTTTATCTGATTACATTTTGTCTTCTGTATTGCAGTGTGAGTTCATTCATCTCTTTTCCCTAGTACTGAATACAGTACAATTTTATTAAAATTTTTTTCTAAATTTTTATTGTGGTAAAATATACAAAACTTAAAATTTACAATCTTAATCATTTTTAAGTGCACAGTTCAGTGGTATTAAATACATTCTTATTGTTGTGCAACCATCACTACAGTCCATCTCCACAACTCTTCATCTTGCAAAACTGAAACTCTGTGCCCATTAAATAACTTCCCATTCTCCTTTATCCCCAACCCCTGGACCATTATTCTACTTTCTACGTCCATGAATATGACTGCTCTATTCATACTACTCTAAGTACCTCATATAAGTGGAATCATACAGTATTTCCTTTTCTGTGTGTGACTGGCTTATTATATTTAGTATAATGTTCTTTTTTTAAATATATCTTTGTTGGAGTATAATTGCTTTACAATGTTGAGTTAGTTTTTGTTGCACAACAAAGTGAATCAGCTATAAGTATACATATATCCCCATATCCCCTCCCTCTTCAGCCTCCCTCCCACCCTCCCTATCCCAGCCCTCTAGGTCATCACAAAGCACTGAGCTGATCACCCTGTGCTATGCAGCAGCTTCCCACTAGCCATCCATTTTACATTTGCTAGTGTATATATGTCGATGCTACTCGTTCACTTCATCCCAGCTTACCCTTCCCCCTCCCTGTGTCCTCAAGTCCATTCTCTACATCTCTGTCTTTATTCCTGCCCTGCAACCAGGTTCATCAGTACCGTTTTTTAAGATTCCATATGTGTGCATTAGCATACAGTATTTGTTTTTCTCTTTCTGACTTACTTCACTCTGTATGACAGACTCTAGGCCCATCCACCTCACTACAAATAACTCAATTTCGTTTCTTTTTATGGCTGAGTAATATTCCATTGTATATATGTGCCCCATCTTCTTTATCCATTCATCTGTCAATGGACACTTAGGTTGCTTCCATGTCCTGGCTATTG